GAGAGGACCGGCCCAGAGACCTCTTCTTTCTCACCCCCCACCCAAACTTATCCAGTCATCGTAGCCCTTCTCTCCAGGGCTAAACAGTAGGCCTAGCATCCAGGCAAGAAAGGGGCCATCCTTGGAGCTGTCCCCAGGCAAGGACCTTGAAGACATTTGCTCATAAAAGGAGAAAACCACTGCTCAGCAACTGCTCTGACCAGGCGGCCTGTAGGATCCCGGGGCACCAGAATCTTCCAGACAGCTTTCTGGCCACCATCAGGGCCAGCCTTGTGATCTAGGATCCTCCCTGCTGCGTTATTTGAGAAGCTTTCTTCCTGCCAGCATTGGGCCAGGTGCCCTGGACACTGGTGGCCAAGAACAGGCTTCAAAAGGCTAAGTGGAAGGTGACCATCTTCAAAGGGCCCTCAGACTTCCCAGAAAGCTCTGGCACACAGCCCTGACCTGAGGTCAGAGCTTCCTGCAAATGAACTTGCGATGGCTCCATGAGGGCAGGGACTGTGTCTGTCTGGTTCACGGGTGTATCCCCTACAGCCCCTAGCAATGGGCTGGAATACAGGCGGTGCTCAATACTGATTCACCATCAACATAGAATGACCTCCACCAGGGAAGGAAGGGAGGAAGGCCTGTGGAAAGAGCCCAGGTTAGAGGGCCAGACTGACCCGATTCTGAACCCTTCCAGCTCCTCCATTTATACTCTGAGCTCACGGGCATCCTCATCTACACGGCGGGGGTGAGAATACCCGCCTCAAAATGTTGTTGGGGGAAAAAAAGAAAGTTGTTGGGAGAAGTGGACGGAAATCCTAGGTAAAGCCTGTAGCCCAGGTCACGGCCAAGAGCACTTTCTGCTTCCAGTTCAGAAACACTTTTCACAGCTCACACCCGAAGCCCGACACTGTCCAAACGTGGTAGGGGGAATCCCAGAGCACAGTGAGTTTATTTAACTCTTACAACAATCCCAAGAAGTAGGATCTACTTAAATCCCTCTTGCAGTGGTGGGAAACAGAGGCACGAGGACAAAAAGCAACTTGCCCCAAGTCTGGAATCTAGAAGTGGCAGGGCCACGCCTCCTAACAATTCCAAAGCCCAAAATTTTAAGTGCTACATTTTTCTGTCTCTAAAGTCATCGGGCAGGGAATGTTTGCTCTTGTCCCTGCCCTGGTGTGATTGTGGGCGATACCTGACCACACTGCCGGACCAGAATTTTCAGCTGCAAGAGAAAAGTGCATCTGGGTATCCCCGTGGTTCATGGCTTTTGTTTTAAACTAATGGCCTCTTCCTATGAAATTCAATCTCCAGCAAGTTTGCTGATCAAAAACTTTTCTCCCCTCCTGTCCTCCTGCTATCTCGTCTCCAACTACCTATCAGAAAAAGACACACAGCTATGTAAAAATAGGAAAAAGGAAAGGAAAGCACAGAGAGAGAGAGAGAGAGAGCGCGTGAGCTTGCACGCCCTCAGGAACAGAGAAGTCTCACTCACTCTCCTAACTATCCCTCAGGACAGCTGCCCACAGAGAAGGGCCCCGGGCAGAAGCAGTCTGTCCACACAGAGGCCAACCACGTCAAGGCTCAGTGTCCCCATGCACCCAAGGAGCAGAGAGAGAGTTAAGCCTCTCTTCCAATGGCCCAGACCTCCTCATAAAGACAGCTTCCCATTTCTTCCTCTCTATAGGACTGCATCTGCCCTACCGCCAAGCATGGAGAAAACGTCATTACCAAAATAAATCAGCGGGGCACCTGACCTTGCTTCTCAACTGGCTCAGGATTCGTGACATCACGACGCACTCTACAAATGCTCAGAAATATCGGAAACCCTGAACTACTACCCCCCCTTCAGCCAAAAATGCTTGGGATTTCACTAAAAGGCCTTAAATTATTTTGATTTTACCCTACGGAATCTAAAATGCGTTCCGTGTTTTCACTTTCAAAATGCTGAGAAGAAAAAGTATGCTTGTTGGACCTCAGGAAACCAGCTCCTGGTCTGGTTTGCGTCCTGGTTCGTGGATGGCAAGCTGGGGAGCCGGCCAGAAGCCAGGGAACAGAAGCTCTCACTCCACACCGCTCACTGACTCAGGCCCCAAGAAGCGGGGGCTTCCCCATGGGGGCGCCCAAGGCAAACTTCTCCCCCCAACCACGGTCACAGACAGGTCATCAGCAGCTCCCGGCATCTGGGCAGTCCTCCCAAGGGCCTAGTCTTCAGCTCCCGAATCCCTGCAAAACACCATGTCTCCCTTCCGAATCAGCAGAAGCAGCACAACTCCTCCATGGGAGTCAGTGAGACAGGACTCCATGGGGGCCAATGCTGAGGGCAGCATTCCTCCCCAAGGCAGCTGCTTGGAGATGGCACGGCCTCAAGGGCCCTACAGCAAATCCATTTACTGCACACCCACACCCCCAATCTGGACCCATGACCCTGCAGCTGTAACTCCTAACACTGCTTGCTCTGAAGACCACCCCATTTACAATCAGGTTGGTCATTAACACCCTAAGTCAATGGAATGCTGATTTAAGGGAGAAAAAGAATTCATCTATTAAGAACAAGTGCTCTCAGGAAGCACTCAGAACCGGACTGCCAGGGGCATTCAAGACATGGTCCCACAGCCAGCACTGCGTCAGTCAACACACTCATCACTCTTGTTGAGGTACAAGTCACAAAATCCCAGCATCCCAAAACGCACGGGTCCCGAGGACCCATGGACGTTAACTACCTGACTCTTTCTTCAGGGGAGAAAAGGAGATGCAGGCCAAGGGTAAGACGGTCCACCGTGGGTAAAGGGCTCAAATCCCGAGCTTCTCAGTGATCTTCCCATATTTAGCCTAGTGTCCCTGACACCCAATGACCAACAAGAGCCCTTACACACTTATTTCCACAAAAAAAGCTACTTCTGGGATGATGTTACAGGCAGACGGGCTAAGCCCACCACGGCTGTGGAAATCAACAGAGAAGAAAACCAAGCAGGAGTCGACAAAAATTAACTTTTGCTCTGAATCCCGTTCTCAGCGCGAAAACTCCTTCCTCCAGTTAAAGTGCCTTTCCAGGATTCCTGACGTGAGAAACGAGGGGCAGGAGTTACCCCTGACGGGGGGTGTCCGACACAGGCTGGTATTTTATTTTATTATTTTTTTTAATTTAAAGTTTTCTTTTTTTTTAATATTTATTTATTTACTTATTTGACAGAGATCACAAGTAGGCAGAGAAGCAGGCAGAGAGAGAGGAGGAAGCAGGCTCCCTGCTGAGCAGAGAGCCCGATGTGGGGCTCGATCCCAGGACCCTGGGATCATGACCTGAGCTGAAGGCAGAGGCTTTAACCCACTGAGCCACAAAGGCGCCCCCAGGCTGGTATTTTAGACCACAACTGCTGGGCAAACAAATGGGAGCTATACCAGGTAGAGCGGTCTTAAGCCAGCTTCGCAAGCAGGAGTGAAGTCGGCCCCAAAGAAGGCTCAGAAATTAGAGTACTTTCCTCTGCCCTTAAAATGGGGGGGGGGGGGGCACCTGTGGCGGCAGCGAGGGCACGGGTGCCTCTTTAGATACAAAGGTTAAGACCTCACAGGCTAATAACCAGGCTGGGGAAGGGCAGCCCAACAAAGACACACACACACACACGACCAGAGGCCCTGTAACTTTCTGCCCATAGGAGCAGACATGGTCACCCTGAGTCCATGTCACCCACAGACACGAAGAAGCTTCTCTGGCTCCAGAGGATCACACGGGAGCCTAAAACAAACGAAGGCCAGGGCTCTCTCCCCCGCAAGTGTGTGACACTCACAGGCCGCAGACTCAATGCCATGGAAAGCAGCATTTCCCTTGTTTCCATTACGTCATCCATGCTGGAAAAGGGGGGGAGGGGGAGGGGGACACAGCTGGGAGCAGCTGTACCACCATCTGCTCACTCCTCGCTCCTGGGCTGTGTGTGCTAGCCTGAGCAGCAGCCCCGCTCCTGCCCCAGAGAGAGGAGGTGCGGTGTTAAAGGTACAATACCCAATTACGGAAAAGCTTTCCAAATCATTTAGAGATAAATCACTTTCAGGATAAGTTAACAACCTCGGGAAGGTTGCTGAGCCTGTCCTCTTTGAGTTTTGGTTATTTGTTTGCATCTCTTTAGACTCAGCTACGGGGCAAACTCTGTCGGCTCAACGTGCCCCATTAGACAAGCAGAACGTACAAGCAACCACCTGCCATCTGCTCCCCAAAGGAGGCATCCAGAACAGTACAGGTCTGCAGCTGGAAGCGTTCAGGGGAGGAGCGGGGAACATTCAAACCCAGGACACAGGCGCCAGGCCAGTGACTGCTACTTGCTTATGGGCACCCTGAGCCATTCAGCTGACCAATCCTATCTTCTGGGGCACTCCCGAAGTTCCCTCTAGAGCACTCTGCCAGGCATGCCCTCATAGAAGGGGAGGCTGGTGAGAGCACCTGGGGGTGAACCACTTGGCTGGCCCCTCGACTACAGACAGGCAACGAGGCAGTAAAATGGGAGTCTGGAGGTCTGATCAAGCTATGCACGCGTCTCATCTGGCCGACATAGGGCTGTATTTAAAAAGCAAAAGTGCTGGCTTTTAAAAATGAGTGATTTCATATATAAATATCTGTATTGCTAGCTCTTCCTGGGAGCGAGGAGAAAATGAAGAGATTTGTCAACACAGGCCCCATTTCCACATGGCACCAGTGACCAGGAGCTACTGAGATGGGGCATGTGCTCTGAAGAATGGGTCCGCATATGCCACTGCAACTAAATCCCTACCTGGACCCTGAGAGCTTTGCTGTCATGCTGCTGAGTGTGTAGAAGAAAAAGAAAACCTCAGAGAATGATTTCCCGATGGTCCTTTGTTGACTCTTCCGGTTGGTTGAGATTCAGTCCCTTGGATGGCCAACTGAAATTCTACAAAGATCATTCCACCCAATACAATGAATGGATCTCAGTAGAAGGCTAGCTGCCACCATTTCTTACCACAAAAGCACATCATAGGATCGCAAAGGAACATTACGGACCGCTTACCATACATCTTGCCTTCGTCCGATAAGATGATTTTCCTCCTCCCGCAGGGTGGGTAGATAGCCAAGGCTTCCTGAAAGCTCTGCTCGATGTCGGGGCTCCAGACCCCTTCTGCGTCGTTGTCGATTGGCTTATCCGCAGAGTCGCTCATTCTTTCCATGTTTTCGGCAGGGCTCTCACTGCCGCTCCAGCTGCTGGGCTCAATTTTGGCGGTTGGATTTTCCAAGCCGAAGCCTGGAGCCTTTTCAAGAAAATAAACCTAAAGACAGAAATGAAAAGACAGGGTAAGGAGGAGGTAATGACCAACAACACCGCTCTTCCTCGTTCCAGTACCTACTCTTCCGGCTCCAGCTTTGCTTGGACAAGAGCTCCTAGAGGAGAATACAGGGTTTGGGGAGCCAAGTGGCTTTTGTTCTTCACGTACCGCATCAACCACGCATACAGAAATGCAACAGCAGGCAGAAACTGGATCATCTCCACAGGCGTGAGAATGGGGCCCCCCTGGAGTTGCAAGTTCACCGTGAATCCCGCAGAAACGCTGACCAGATGCCTACAAGCTACCAGGAGCACTTTGTGCAAGGATAATCCCACATTAATCCCATGTCCACGACAAAACCGTTGTTTCAAAGAAAAGGAAGCAAAACAAAAGATATCTGCCTCGCCGTGGCAATGGGCACAGTAACTTGAAAATGTCAAATGGTCCAATATTTGTCGATGAGATCACCGAAATGCAAGATGGCGGCAGGCTGCAGGAAGGACGGGATTATTCTGTTGTCACAAATACTCGTTCCACTGAAACAGCGACACCAGGTCCCCTGTACCTGCTACCGGACAGCATTCTGCAACAGGGGTCCTCTTCTACACGCTCACTTCACTTGGCCACTCTCCACTTCTAGACTGTAACCTTGAAGCTGGGACCCAGTTGCCCCCATTTCTGCCTTCCAGGCAACCGACAACAAGTGGCCGGCGCACTGGCAGAAATGTTCTAGGCCTACACGGGGCACTCCGTCCAGGAGCCTAACTTGGAATTTCTGATCACATGAAAAACGTAGGGAGTCTTTCATTTCTTCTTCTGTAGCCCTGAAGATTACAGAACCGAGAGAAATTTTTCTCAAAGATTTATTCCTCTTAAATTATGCATGTAACCTATGGCCATAATGGGATAAGCTTTCCCAACAAATGTCAAACCGGCACAAACACCAGCACAAACACCAACGTGAAACTGATCTAATCCAGTACCCCCTGCAGTCTGCACACTAACATATCAATATTCCTTTGTTGAAAAAGCATCAGGTCACTAATTCAAAGGCTTCCCCAAAAAGGGAGAAGAAATGCTCCTGGGGATGGATCGAAGACGGGGAGGCTCCGGGCTTGAGTAGGAGAGTGTAGTGTAACCACCATCCTAGCCTGCTTCCCCGCCTCAAGTCCACACAACATTACAACAGAGGTGGGTAGGAGAGAGGAAGGCAGACGCCAGAGGCCCCGCCGGGCACCAGGGACTTCTCTCGGCTCCAGAACAGTCACCGGAGAGCAAGCAACCCGTCTTCTCTCCTTCTGTGTCCCAACTGCCTCCCTCCCACCTGCACTCCCCCAGCTGCGTCTATCAACGGATCCCAGCTGCGGAAACTCGGGGGCCGAGAACATTACACAATTAATGGTGTAACTAGTGGGTGCTTTTGGCTTCGTACCCTGACAGCTTTTTGGATCTAGCAGCACCTGGATAAAAGGAACCTTCGGGTTGTCTGCCTTTTAAATGTTGCCACGGATCCATCATTCAAAGAACTTGTCAGCAAAATATTTACTACTCCTTACCAACACATGTACATTAACACAGGACTCTACAAACTGCCAAACGTTGAGAGGTATCAATTATGCCACAAAAAAGGGTTTTGTGATTGACCTGCCCATGAACTCCACCAAGCCTCCAGTGTGGGTCTTTTCAGTTCTCAAATTATTACTGGGGGGGTGGGGGGGCGGATTTAGGGGCCTCCTAAAAATTCAAGCTGAACTGTACCATTCTACCCTACAGTCTGTTCCGCCTCCAAAGCAGTTTCTTGGAGAAAATGAGAGGATGAGCAAATGCTTTGAGGCAGTGGGTAATCCACCTTCTGCCTCTCCACCTGACCCAAATACAGAACAAAACAAAACAAATGGCCCCCACGGAAGCCCACGCCTGTCCCTGAGCTCTGGGAGGCTCTCAGCAGTATGAACTCACTGCGGAGAGCCACACTGTAGGATGAACAGTGATGTGCCCAGCATGCAACCACGACAGCAGAGGGACACAGTCCTGGGCAGTGAAGGCCAGCTGAGGAACGGTGGGATCTCTATTTGCATAAGAACACTCCCATGGAAGGAAGATCCTCAGTCCCCAGGCCAAAACACACCAGCAACCCCTGACCCTATGCTTGACATGCCTTCTTCCTCTCCCATCAGTTGGTCATACGGTCTACGCTGGAACATGACCAGTGGCAAGGAACCCACTACCTCCCCAGCACCATTTCCCTTGTACCGGCATGCTTTAATCCTTCTGTCTAGGAGGCTAACACCCACGACCCGGTTATTTCCAACTATCCATCCCTTGAAAGTCTATCTATCCCTTGTGGGAGCAAATCCAACCCCCACACATCCATTCAGGTATGACAGGAACAGCCCCGGACTGTGATCCAGACTAGACAGAATTCACATCGTTTCTCTGCCCAGAGCTCATAAATGCATCCCAGTTTTGTCCACAACCCTCCATAAAGGACACTCAGAGAGGGACCCAGGATCCATAAAACCTCCAAGCTCCTAAGTGTTGTTCCTGAAATTCCTCTCTTGTGCAACTGTCTTAGGAGCTAAAAACACGAGTTTATATTTATTCCCATTAAATTCCATTACTTTTACCCTTAGGCCTTGACTCCAAGCTAGTAAGATCTTTCTGAATCATTAATTGCCAAGCTTAGTGTCCCCAGACATTGAACAACCACTGAGAGTTGTCACGGGGGAGGGTGTAAACCCATTCTAGAGAAGTTCCAGAAAAGATTCTGACTCAGCATATGGAAAAATGTCCAGCTAGCTGAACTTCCACAAGGGGTGCAATGCCTTAAAGACAGACAGAGTCCTGCGAACAACCCTTTCGAGCTACTGTACAGCTAAAAATCACTAGTCCTTGGGTAGGGAATGCAGTACTAGTGAGCACTAACTGATTCATCCTTTTTATTTTTTTAAAGATTTTATTTATTTGAGAGAGGGTGAGTGTGTGTATGTGTGTGTGTGTGAGAGAGAAAGAGAGAGCACAAGCAGGGTGAGGGGCAGAGGGAGAAGCAGATCTCTGCTAAGCTGGGAGGCCGATGCAAGGCTTGATCCCGAGACTCTGAAATCATGACCTGATCTGAAGGCAGACGCCCAACCGACTGAGCCACCCAGGCGCCGCTGGATCCATCCATCTCAGTTAAGTATAGGCACTGTTCTAAACATGCTCATGTTTTTATTCATTTCCTGCAAAGGGGAGAACTCTGCGTCCAGGCTCTTGCAGGCTGGTCAGCTGGAGCCCAGCAGGATGAAATTACCAACTCTGGACAAGGGCCAGCACAGAGCCCCAGACGCTGCCACACACATAATCCTCAGAGTCACACAGGCCCTCAGTTTTACAACCCAATTGTAAGATGAGGCCCTGTATGGGCAGAGAGTTTCCAATCACAAGACTGGGGCTGGCTGAGAAATGTTCCCCATACTGGATACCAGAATAACTGTTCTGGTTCATTCTATCCCTCTGGTCCCTTTCAGCCCAGTTCAAAATCCACCTCATCCTGGAAACACGTACCCAGTGACTCTCAGAGTATCGGCCACACATTAGCAATATCCTAAACACATGTATAATGGGTAAACTACCAACCAATCTACCAGGCTTCAGAATGTAGAGAGCAACAAGCACCTGTTTGTTTCCAATAATAAGGGCTAACTGAATGAGGCGGGCACAGAACATCTGTGCCTGCAGAGCTAAGGTCCGTACCTCCTCATACATCCTTTGAGCAAGGGAGTCAACTTACACTTGATGCAGTGGATGAAGAAGAAACAGAGTATTGGGGAGTGGACATAGCATGTGGTGTCAAGACTCAACTTGACTTGGCTTCCAAACCCAGCTCACTCGCTAGCCTTGACACCCAGGCTAAATTAGGGAATCTTGCAGAAGCTCAGGTTTTAACTTACAGAGGGAGATAAATTCAATTCGATTCCAACACAGGAAAGTCACTAAGGGGTAGAGGGACTCTCCCCTCACAGGACTGCCGCAGAGATTAAGCGAGATATACTATGTACCATTAGTCCCTGGGTGCCTCCGTTTCCATCATTAACACTTTTCCAAAGGCTCATTTTTTTCCCTAAAATCCTCCTTTGCTACACTATAATAAATTCCAGAATGAAATGTTACCAGTGACCCAAGCATTCCTAACTGCCCTAACAGCTAGACTCCCTAAATGGATCACTCTTGCACAATTACCCACTGACACCTGAAGAGAGGTGACATGATTACAGTGAAATGACATATGTGTATTTGTCCAATACGCACTTGGATATAAAAGTCTGGGGGAAGAAGGGGCCAAGACAGTCCAACGTAGGTGCTTCTGACACCAACTCCATGCAAGGGACATACTCACAAGGGGTGTGACACAGGGCACAGGAATCTGCTTCTCCCTTCAACTTAATTCCTGTGGGTCTCTCATAATGTAAGCATCTCACCCACTTATAGGTGATTTAAGAGCTCTTAAATAAAAGGGTGAGCTTTAACTAACCTCATGATTAATGAAACGCCACTGAACATGAGGGTCACAAAAAATCCATACAGATTCTTTTAGCCAATGTCTCAACAGTCTATGAGACATTCAGAAAAGGGCTGGATTAGGCATTATGACTCTGTCTCTACCTGAGTAGCCCAGGACCACACAGCACTTATAGACCCCCACGTGCCTCAGTTTCCATCATTAACACTGAAGGAGGCCAACTAAGTCATTCATTGTCACCTTGTTTTCCCATACACTCTACCTACAATAAAGCTTAGTAAGGTGATTTGTTACTGCACCCCATCTGTACCCCAATCTCATTGAGGGCAAGGACCACAGCATCCCCAGTGCTGGCAGAGTCCCTGGAACCATATTCGGTGAAAGAAAGAACAAACCAACAACCAGATGACATGAACGTTCTCTGACATCAGTGCACGCGAACTTACCACCCAAGCTTCCCATGAGAAGGGCAAGAGTTTCAGCCCCTTTCCCATCCC